CAGTCTGGGCAACAGAGTGAGACTCCAACTCAAAAAAAAAAAAAGAAAGAAAGAAATTATGTAGACATATGCTTTCAGTTCTCTTGGGTAAATACTTAGGGGTGAAATGGCTGAGTCACATGGTAGGTACAAGTCTAACTTTTTAAGAAACTGCTAAATAATTTTCCAAAGTGGTTGTACACCATTGTACAGTCCTAACAGCACATGAGAGTTCTAATTGCTCCACACTCTCACCAACACTGGGCATGGTAAGGCTTTTTAATTTAGCCATGCTAGTGGGTGTGCTGTGCTATCACACTGTGCTGTTAATTTGCAATTACTACTAATAAACATCCTTTCATGTGTTTATGTGCCATCTAGAAGTCTCCTTGGTAAATAGTTCAAGTGTTTTGTTAGGCACTGCTTTTAAGCACCAAGGATACAAAATGACTGATATCTGCTCTCATGGAGCTCAGTCTAACAGGGAAGACAGATGAACAAGTAATTATTTTGAGTTTGGGGCTCACTCTGGTACCCAGGTTGGATTGCAGTGGCACAATCATGGCTCAATACAGACTCGACCTCCTGGACTCAAGTGATCCTCCAGTCTCAGCTTCCCTAGTAGCTGGGACTAGAGGTAAACACCACCACACCCAACTAATATTTTGATTTTTGTAGAGATGAGGTCTTGCTATATTGCCTAAGATAGTCTTGAGCTCCTGAGTTTAAGCAGTCCTCCCACTTCAGCTTCCCAAAGTTCTGGCATTGTAGGCATGAGCCACCACACCAAGCTAGAACAATTAATTATAACAAATGTGTAAGTTTTATCATAAGAGGATACCAGAGTGTTAGGAGAGAACTGGGGTCGAGGGAGGGAGGGAGGCAGGCAGCTTATCTAGCATAGGGATCAGAGAAGATGCCTTTGAGGAAGTGACGTCCAGATCACAAGGGATTAGATGAGTCAGAAACGGCTGAGGATCAAGAAGAGCAGGGGTCAGCCTGGCTTGGTGGCTCAGCCTGTAATCCCATGCCTTTGGGAGGCTGAGGTGAGTGGATTGCCTGAGCCCGCGGGTTCGAGACCCGCCTGGGCAGCGAGACCTCATCTCTACAATAAATCAAAAAATCAGCTGGGCGTGGTAGCACATACCTGTAATTCCGGCTACTTGGAAGCCTGAGGCAGAAGGATCGCCGGAGCCCAGCAGGTCGAGGCTGCGGTGGCGGGGAGTGGCCACTGCACTCCGGTCTGGGCAATAGAGTGAGACTCCAACTCAAAAAAAAAAAAAAGAAGAGCAGGGGTCCTGATAGAAGGATGAGCATGTGTGAAGCCTTCCAGGTGGAAGCTGTATAAGGGAGGACCCCAGAAACACCAGAATTTATTCATAAAAAGTTCAGCCTGTAATCTCGTGCCTTTGGGAGGCTGAGGTGAGTGGATTGCCTGAGCCCGCGGATTCGAGACCCACCTGGGCAACTTGGTGAGACCTCATCTCTACAATAAATCAAAATTAGCCGGGCGTGGTAGCACGCACCTGTAGTTCCGGCTACTTGGAAGGCTGAGAAGGAAGGATCGCCGGAGCCCAGCAGGTCGAGGCTGCGGTGGCCGGGAGCGGCCACTGTACTCCAGTCTGGGCTACAGAGTGAGACTCCAACTCAAAAAAAAACCACCAAAAAACAAAACAAAGTTATGTATTTATTCTTACATGTTTAAGCTTAGTCACCTTCAAAATACTGTTTGATACAATACACCTATTGAGATGCTGTTTCCTTTGCTCAAAACAGTTTTTGAACTCGTCAGTTTTGGTGCCTTTTAGTGCTTCTGCCATTTTTTGTTTCACCTCTTCCATCTTGGCAAAATGTTTACCTTTAAGAACTTTTTTCATCCAGGAAAACCAAACAAGTTGCTCAGGGTAAAAGTGGGTGAATAGGGAGGGTGGGGCACAGGGGTCGTGCCATTTTTGGTCAAAAACTGCTGAACACTCAGCATGGTGTGGGCAGGTGGATTGTCATGGTAGAAGAACCAGTCACTTGCTTGTCACAACTCAGAATATTTCTTCTGCAAATCATGATGCAGCGTTCTCAAAACTTTCAGATAAAAACTTTGGTTGACCGTTTGATCTGGAGGAACAAATTCCAAGTGTACTATAAGCGGCTCACCCTCCAAAAGATAATTCTGGGCCGGGTTTGGTGGCTCAGCCTGTAATCCCGTGCTTTGGGAGGCTGAGGTGAGTGGATTGCCAGAGCCCGTGGGTTTGAAACCCACCGGGGCAACTTGGCAAGACCTCATCTCTACAATAAATCAAAAAACTAGCTGGTGTGGTAGCGTGCACCTGTAGTTCCAGCTTCTTGGAAGGCTGAGGCGGAAGGATCGCTGGAGCCCAGCAGGTCGAGGCTCCAGTCTGGGTGACACAGTGAGACTCCAACTCAAAAAAAAAAAAAAAAAAAGATAATTCTGGGATATTTTTTTGGTCCATCTCGTATAAGGGTGCTGGTATGGACTCACTGTGGCTAGACACAGAGTGTAAGACAGTAAGTGGAATAGTAGGAGTCAGACTGTATAAGACTTTGAAGCTAGGTAAAAGAGTGAGAACTCAAGAACAATCTATAGCAATCAGAGACCAAAATTGGGATAGGAGCAAATTGGGTTTGTGTTGGGAAGATCACTCCGACTGCTGTGTGAAGAATGGACTGAGGGAGTTCAAATGGAGACAGAGACTAACTGCAAAACTAACCTAGTGCAGATGAGAGAATGGGAGTCTAGAAGCAATGAAGAGAAGACAAATGGCTATGTAGATGTTGTCTAGAAAATAAAATCAACAGGATTTGGTGATCAGATATGGGTAAGAGGAAAGAGTGGAGGGAGGGACAAAGAATAACTCCTAGTTTCTGGCTCATACAAATGGTGGTGCCATTTAGCAAGCAAGACAAAGCTAAGGGACCGGTGGTAAGGATAGCACATTCAGTTTTGGATGTGATGAGTCTGAGGTGTCAATGACACATGTAAGAGGGTGTTGAGTAGGCAGCTGGATATAAATGCCTTTAGCTCAGGAGACAAATTTTAGCACAAATTTAAGCTTGGGTAAGACTGCCCAGAAAACTTGCATAATGAGAATAGAAAGCTGAGGCCTTAGCCCCAAGGAACAAAAGTATTTAAGGGGCACACCTCCCTCAGTTCTACTTTCATCCATGTTGTACCTTCCATCTCCTTCTTTTACCTCCCTAAAAGCCATCTACCCTTCAAGGGCCCAATCAAGTCTCACTGCTTCCATGAAAGTGTTCTAAAATACTCCAGCTCACACTGTATTCAGTTATTTACCACATAATCCGGAATTTATTTACAATTTCTTTTTTTTTGAGTTGGAGTCTCACTCTGTTGCCCAGGCTGGAGTGCAGTGGCACGTTGCTCATGGCCATCGCAGCCTCAACCTGCTGTGCTCAGGTGATCCTTCTGCCTCAGCCTTCCAAGTAACTGGGACTACAGGCACGCGTCACCATATCCGGCTGATTTTTTATTTATTGTAGAGACGAGGTCTTGCCAAGTTGCCCAGGCTGGTCTCGAACCCGTGGACTAAGGCAATCCTCTCCCTTCGGCCTCTCAAAGTGCTGGGATTATAGACGTAAGCCACCAAGACTGGCCTTACAACTTCTTAAGTAATAACTTCTTAAGTAACAGTCTCCCCAGTGTTACAGAAAGCTTGCTATAGGAACCTAGACTAAGAATCAGATGGCCAACTTTATTACAGGTTAGCTCATGATCAAGTCATCTCATTTGTCAAATGGGTTAACAATAGTGGCTCCATAAGACTTAAAGGGTGCGAGGTCAACTGAAATAATACAGACAAAAACACTCTAAAAAGAATAAAGCACCATATTCACATAAGATTTTGAGCTTTTTTCCTCTTTTCTACATCTCAGTGCTGTGGTGACTGATTGTCAAGTATATATTCATTTACTTCACACTTCCCACATACTCACCAAGCAAAAAGCCCATGAAAAATCTGCAGTAGCTTCTGATAGCAGGAAGACATCACATGGTACTCCTGATTTTTCACTCCTGGTCTGTCAACTACGTCACGATTCTCAGCAGCTAAGTACTAAAAAGGAAGGTGATAGCTGCTTCAGGAAATGCCCTTATTTTCTTTTTTTCTCAGCCAAAAATGAAAAGTCATATCCACTTAGTGATTTTTAAGTCTATAATGATAAAATAGGCTTCTGACCTGAAAATAGTTATGAATGTTCTCCAGGTGGTTACACATTGGGATCAATAGTTGAACAACACAGTGAGCAATTTCTTGGGCAGATCTCTGTTGGAGATGTGAGAATCCAATATTCCGGCTTCCTTTATTCTATAATAAATTCAGAGTTATGGGGGAAGAAACTGCTGGATAGCATCTCTGAAACTAAGGGTTCAATATGGAGTTTGGTCAAACCTCTGTCACCAGGTAGGAGTGGATGGGAAAAATAAGTTGCTTGCCTGAGACTGTACGCTGACAAAGGGATAAAAATCTCGCTTCCTAGCTGGGCTCGGTGGCTCAGCCTGTAATCCTGCACCTTGGAAGGCTGAAGTGAGTGAATTGCCTGAGTCCATGGGTTCAAGACCCACCTGGGCAACTTGGTGAGACCTCATCTCTACAATAAATCAAAAAATTAGCCAGGTGTGGTAGCGCGCACCTGTAGTTCCAGCTACTTGGAAGGCTGAGGCGGAAGGAACACCGGAGCCCAGCAGGTTGCACTCCAGTCTGGGCGACAGAGTGAGACTCCAACTCAAAAAAAAAAATCTCGCTTCTTTCAGCTACTTGGGAGGCTAAAATCCAGGAGTTCAATGCAGTAGAGAGTTGACTGTACCACTGCACTCTGACCTGGGCAACAGAGCAAGACTCAGTCTCAAGAAAAAAAAATCACTCTCTTCAAATAATCAAGAGATAAGTTTTGTCGAGTAGGAACAGTGATTCAAAAGCAGACTCATCATAAGAAATGAGATAAAGCTCTCACAAAAGTAGAAGCCATTTAAACTGACAAGAATATAGAAAAAATAGTGAGTACATTTTCATATTTTGTTGTTTACACCATCCAACTGTCTCCCCAGATGTCAGGTGCATGTTTATACATTGTACATACTTCTGAGGTTCTGGTCTCTGGAAAGCCAACTACTACTATACTGAGGCTTGGGCATAGGCTTGGTTTGGGAGGTTGATAAAACCAAACTGAGCAAAACAGAATTCATAAATGTTAAGGGAATTTAGAAATATATTTCTTATTTTGGGTGCCTTTGTTTTCTCTATTTCAGAGTTTCTTGTTAAGGCAAGATAAAAATGGCCTGGCAAAAGGGCTTCGTCCATGCTACCCACTGACCCAAAAACCAATGCTAGAGAAAGTGACAACTTACTCATCACTAAGACTTCCTTGTTTTCAAACCCGCCAAGCCCAGGTCTTATGCGTCTGCCTATACTAACCTTGAGAAAGGGGACTCTCCTGGCAATAGGAGGTGTCAGCAAATTCTCTAGCTTCTGGGAGAGATCTTCCAGTAAGAAAAGCAGCTCAGGTGGCCCAAGTTGCACAAATTCAGTAGCCTGTTACATGAAGGAAAGAAGGATTAATTCCAAGTATATCCTAGTGACTTTTTGGGTACTTTTCATGTTAATTCTTCCCAATGGGCGAAGAATCTGATTTTTAACCAAAAAGGGGTGGGGTTGGGCATGGTGGTTCATGTTTGTAATCTCAGTGCTTTGGGAAGGACTGCTTAAAGCTTAGAATTCAAGAATCCAAGACCAGCCCAAGTAACATAGCTAGACCCCATAAGAAACAAATTTTCTTTTTTTTTTTTTGAGTTGGAGTCTCACTGTGTCGCCCAGACTGGAGGGCAGGGGCCGCTCCTGGCCACCGCAACCTCGATTTGCTGGACGATCCTTCCGCCTCAGCCTTCCAAGTAGCCAGAATTACAGTCATGCGCTACCACACCTGGCTGATTTTTTGATTTATTTGTAGAGATGAGGTCTCGCTGCCCAGGCGGGTCTCGAACCCGCGGGCTCAGGCAATCCATTCACCTCAGCCTCCCAAAGGTGCGGGATTACAGGCTGAGCCACTGAGCCTGACAGAAAAAAATTTTTAGTGAGTTCAGGGCCAGGTGTGGTGGCTCATGCCTATAATCCCAGCACTTTGGAAGGCTGAGGGAAGAGGATTGTTTGAGCCCAAGCGTAGTTCGAGGCTACAGTAAGATATGATCATGCCACTGCACTCCAGCCTAGGTTATACAATGAGATCCTGTCTCAAAGAAGTAAGGGGAATTTCTCCCATCTCATATAAAGGATAGCTGTTATGCTTTGTCAACTAACCAAAAAGTCAAGCATTTCAAAAATAAAATAAAATTTCAAATTATTAAAATAGTGATATAGTTTGGATGATCTTCCCCTCTAAATCTCATGTTGAAATGTGGTCCCCAATGTTGGAGGTGGAGCCTAATGGAAGGTGTCTGGGTCATGGAGGTGAATCACTCATGAAAGGCTTGTTGCCATTCTTACAGTGTTGAGTTAGTTTTAGCTCTACTAGTTCATGAAGTTGGTTCCTTCAAAGAACCTGCCACATCTTCTTTCTCTTGCTGCTGCTCTTGCCATGTGACATGCCTGCTCCTCCTTTGTTTTCCACCACGACTGTAAGCTTCCTAAAGCCTCACCAGAGGTAGGTGCCAGTGCCATGCAGAATCATGAGCCAAATAAATCTCTTTCCTTTGTTTTTGTTTTGTTTTTTGAGTCAAGGTCTTACTCTTTTTCTTTATTTTTTTTTTGAGTTGGAGTCTCACTCTGTCGCACAGGTTGGAGTGCAGTGGCACACTCATAGCTACCGCAGCCTCAACCTGCTGGGTTCAGGCGATCCTTCCATCTCAGCCTTCCAAGTAGCTGGAACTACAGGCACATGCTACCATACCGGGCTAATTTTTTGATTTATTGTAGAGATGAGGTCTCGCCAAGTTGCTCAGGCTGGTCTCGAACCCATGGGCTCAGGCAATCCTCTCACCTTGGCCTCCCAAAGTGCTGGGATCATAGACATAAGCCATGGTGCCATGTCAATTTTTTTTATTTATTGTAGAGACAGGGTCTCGTCAAGTTGCCTAGGCTGGTCTTGAACCCCTGGGCTCAGGCAAAAATTTTGAGTCAGGGTTTTATTCTATTGTCCAGGCTGGACCACAATGGCACAATCACAGCTCACTGCAGCTTCAATCTCCTTGGCTCAGGCAATACTCCTACCTCAGCCTCCCAAATAGCTGGGACTATAGGTGTGCACCACCATGCTCAGTCAATTTTTAAATTTTTTTTTAGAGATGACGTCTCGCTATAGCCCAGGCTTGTCTAGAACTCCTGGTCTCAAGTAATCCTCCCACCTCAGCCTCCCAAAGTGCTAAGCCACCACACCTGGCTACCTTGGTTCTTCATAAATTATCCAGCCTGGGCAGGTGCGGTGGGTCAACCTGTAATCCCAGCACTTTGGGAGGCTGACGCAAGAGGATTGCCTGAGTCCGAGGATTCGAGACCAGCCTGGGCAACTTAGTGAGACCTCTTTTCTACAATAAGTCACAAAAACTAGCTGGGCATGGTGGTGTACGTCTGTAGTTCCAGCTACTTGGAAGACTGAGAAGGAAGGATCACCTAAGTCCAGCAGGTTGAGGCTGCAGTGGCAGTGAGCATGCCACTGCACTCCAGCCTGGGCGACAGGAGTCAGACTCCAACTCAAAAAAAAAAAAAAAAATTACCCAGCCTCAGTTATTCCTTTATAGCAATGAAAACTGGACTAATACAAATAGGAATTTGAGACAGTATAGTTCACAAGACATATTTTTCCTCTAGAAACAAATTCCTGTGTATATCTTTTCAGTTTTGAACCCAAGATGAATTTCCTAAATATCCTGTGATTAAAAAAAAAAACTATTCAAGGGAATTTCACTTTCCTCTGCTCATTAAATAATCCTTTCAGCTGGATGTAGTGGCTCACATCTGTAATCCCAGCACTTTGGGAGGCAGAGGCGAGAGGATTGCCTGAGCCCAATGGTTTGAGACCAGCCTAGGCAACTTGGTGACACCTGGTTTCTACAACAAATCAAAAAATTAGCTGGGTGTGTTGGCATACACCTATAGTTCCAGCTACTTGAAAGACTAAGGCTGTGGTGGCAGTGAGTATGCCACTGCACTTCAGACTGGGCGACAGAGTAAAACTCTAACTCAAAAAAAAAAACCTTGAATACTTTCTTTCTCCTAATGTCTTGCTAATATTAACTCTGAGCAGGATCCCAGAGTAATCCCAGTATAATAACTACATTACACTGCCAAAAGCAGAATGGGTGAAATATAGTCTCGCTTCAAACTGTTCACCCAACACTCATTTTATGCAGAATCTCCTAAGAGTAAGCTGATGTAAAAAGATTTTTAAAAATTTACTGTCTATTCTGAAAATGCCTACATTCTATGTAACTATCAGGTAAAAATTAATGCTATTAAAAAAAATTTTTTTAACTTGGAGAAATGCTACACTCTGTTGAAATTCCATTATCAAATGTTATTTTTTCTGTGAAAATGTCTTCTCTTCCCAACTTCATTATAAATACCATTCTCTCATTAAAGTTTCAGTAGTTTATGGTTCAGAATATTAATACAGTTTATGACGGCATCAATAGAGAAGGTACTGTCAGCTATTTCACTTCCTTGATTAGATTATGAGCTATTTAAGTCAAGCATTATTCTGTATATATTGCTGAATTGCCAGTGTCTAGACTAGTGGAAAATACAAAAAAGGTCTAAGGAAGCATTAGTTAGATGCTAAAGAACTGTCATAAAAATGTGAAAATAGCATTGAGCTCTATAAACCAGAACAGCGCTCCTCTACAAAAATAATCTAAGTAGACCAGCCTGGGCAACATGGCAAGACCTCATCTCTACAATAACTAAATGAATAAATAAATAAATAAGCCAGGCGTAGTGTGCACACCTTTGGTTCTAGTACTTGAAAGGCTGAAGCAGAAGGATCACCTGGGCCCCGCAAGTCAAGGCTACGGTGGCCATGAGCGTGCCACTATACTCCAGCCTGAGTGACAGAGTAAGACTCCTACTCAAAATAATCATCACCACCACCATCATCATCATCATCATCATCTAGTAGTCTATTAGTAGTAGTAACCCAAAGGTGAGGATCACATCATTGGCACAATAGTTTATAATCATAACACATTATTTTATTTTGTGTTAGGATTATAAATATCAGGATGATAAGGATGATTATTCATCATTACTTTCACATATAAAGGCTTTTAAAATCAGAATCTAACTTCTCTCAGTGTCAGAGTTCTTTAAGAAATAAGAAAAGAGCTGAGGAACTTTTTGAAAGAAGATTAAGTTCTGATATCCCAGTTTGTCACTTACTTCAGTGTGCATTTCAGTATCTAAAATGCACTTGGTTACAAGTCCACAATGCAGAACAGAGAAGATCTCAATGTCCAGCTCACGGAAAAAAGCATGGTAATTCTGTAGTGACACTGACATCTTTTCTTCCTTCCCTGTGCATTCCTGGGAAGAAAGTCATAGCAACAAAGAGAATAAATAAATCTTCTATATTAATCTAATTTTAATGAGTATTTCAAAATATAAATACACGTTTATTCTATTCAAAAAGTTACATTTTCATCACATCATCAACTTCCTCTCTCAAGGTTCCTAGATATTCCAGAGCCAGAACACTTGATATGGGGATATAGGTCACACATAAAGACTCTTTGCTGGTTTCTACTTAAGGATGAACTATTAGGTAAATCAAAACATTATGATATGGTATAGAGAACTATGAGCTTAAGAACCAAAAAGATCCGGTTTCAAATCCTAACTTAATCATTGATTAACTGTGTGACCTTGGGCAAATTACTTGTCCTCCTTGGGTCTTAGTTTCCTCATTTATTAAATGTGGTGCTAATAATGACCTTGGGTTTTTAGAAAAATCAGAGACACTATACATAAAAAATATACAATAAGTGGTAACTGATAAACAGAAATAATTGGGATCCATGTGGTCCAGACAATTTCACAAACACATGAAACTTATTGAGTGAGTAGTACAAAGTTACAGAAAAAGGGAACTACTAGCCAGGTTCGGTGGCTCAGCCTGTAATCCCGCGCCTTTGGGAGGCTGAGGTGAGTGGATTGGCTGAGCCCGTGGGTTCAAGACCCGCCTGGGCAGCGAGACCTCACCTCTACAATAAATCAAAAAATCAGCCAGGCGTGGTAGGTAGCGCATGCCTGTAATCCCGGCTACTTGGAAGGCTGAGGCGGAAGGATCGCCGGAGCCCAGCAGGTCGAGGCTGCGGTGGCTGGGAGCGGCCACTGCACTCTAGTCTGGGCGACAGAGTGAGACTCCAACTCAAAAAAAAAAAAAAAAGAAAAAATAGAAAAAGGGAACTACTGTTAATCAAGTATCAGATTTTATCTTGATTCATTGAGAAGTTGATAATCTGGGATCAGAAGGGAAAAGAGACTAAAAGAAGTATATATAAAACTATGTCCTAAAACAGAACATGATAATTCCTGTAAGAGAGAATTCAAAGGACTGCTAGGGTACAAAAAGGGGAGCAAAACACTCAAGAAAAAAACAATTAACAGTATGTTAATAGTCTAATCTGAACTATTAAGAGGATCACTCCAAGACCTAAGAAAATTTTGTCTATTCCCTAATTCTTCTCTTTGTAAAATGCAGAGAATAAAGCTGGCCCTCTATTACTCTCACTGGGCTATCATATACCTTCATGGATACCCACAATTCCAATACCTTGTTCAGCTGGCTTCTATGAGATGGTGTAGGGTCACATTCTGAATTATCCTCCTTTGATAGTGTGTCAGGGGAGGATATCTTGCTGCCATCTGCTTTTTGTTTCTTTCCTCCTTAAGTTTTAATGGGAGAAAAGTAACAAGTAATGAATAATTATGTTTGCCAAAAATCACTGCCCTCAGGAAACAACTGTTGAATGAAGACTGACTAGAGGTAGAAGTAATTTTATAGCCCTAAATTAAAGAGTATTGATAAACCTGCTTTAAAAAGAATTCAATTACATAATCTTTCCAACAGCTGATGACCTGAAACATATAACCTCTTAGGTTCAGTGCAGTTCATATAGATACACAAGATAAGAAGAAAACAACATACCTATCTTTCCTTTTTTCCTGTTTTTGGCTGAAACAGCAGTACTGGCATGAGGTGTTATATCTAAAGTTTCCAAGTCAAAGTTTGCAAGAGGAGGAACATAGTCTGGGGTGACTGAAACAGAAAGTAGGCAGAAGCTCACTATAGACCAATCACATACCACCACTAGACCTGAAATGCAGCAACTCAGTTGGCTAAAAACCAGTTTCTAAAATTACTAAGAGTGGCTAAATGTTTGTAAGATACATTCGGGTCACACTGACATTGTTTCGGAATAGCAAAATGGCCAGAGATAATTTACAGGAATATTGTATTAATTAATTATGATCAATTAACATAAGAAGGCCCAGGGGAGAGGACTGCTTGAGCCCAGGAGTTGGAGACCAGTCTAGGCAACATAGCAAGACCTTGTCTCTACAAAAAAGAAAAACAAATTAACATAAAAACATTCTAAATAATATAAAATAACCAAGCAGATAAGGACTAAAAATAAACTCACATTTAAAATCGAAAGATATTAACAATATTTGGTCACACTGCAGTTTGTTCTACACACAATTATTTTATGTGAGGATCTGAGGGAGGCTTCATATTTTCCCCAGAGAATCAAGCCAGTACTTTGAAACAACCAGTTTACTTAATGGTCATAAGGTACTAAGGGGCCTTTCATCTCTACTCCTGGCTCATGACTATATTCAGGAACGAAAGGCCTGTAGTATAAAAGTGTCACTGCAAGTTTGGCCTCCCCAAAGTAGCAAAGTATAACAATCTAACAAACATCTTACACTTTTTAATTTCTTAAGCAGTAGGAGGTCTTAGAGGTAACAATGGGAGCGAAAATGAATGTACTCATTAAAGATTTTGTTCAGTACACACTTTCCTAGATCCAGAGGAGTAGGAGTCAGCTATCATTGAGTCTGGCTTAAAAGCTAAGTTTTGTATTTCCTCACCAGTGACATATGAGGGCTACTATTAAGGATATTTCCCTAACCTGCCAAGTACTTTTCCAGTATTTGCTGCAGTTCTACAATGTGCTTTAAGCGGGTGAGCACCTTTCCCTTCATCTCGGGCGATGTTTGCTGGCAGAAGGAATTCACAACCTGCAAAGTACAAATTATATTCTCATATTTTGAAATGCTCAGATTTTAACCTTGTTTGCATTATTCATCCAAAGCTAAGAGATGGCAGTGAGCAGCAAAGTCTGTGAGTTTAGTATGTAACATAAAAGTGTTCTCAGTAAGGTGGTGTAGAGAAAATCTCTGGGCCAAAATACAGGAGATCTGACTTACTTTCTCTCTTTTATTTTGTTTTGAGTGTCACCCAGGCTGGAGTGCAGCAGTGCAGTCACAGCTCACCACAGCCTCAACTTCCTGGGCTCAGGCAATCCTCTTGCCTCAGCCTCCCACACGCACTACCACATCTGGCTAATTTTTTAATTTGTTGTAGAGACGAGATCTCGCTATGCTGCCTAAGCTGGTCTCGAACTCCTGGGCTCAAGCGATCCTCCTGCCTTGGTCCCCAAAATGCTGGGATTACAGGCATGAGCTGCTGAGTCCGGCCAGATCTGACTTTTTGTTTTTGTTTTCTTTTTGAGTCGGAGTCTCACTCTGTCGCCTAGGCTGCAGTGCAGTGGCATGCTCATGGCAACTGCAGCCTCGAGCTGCTGGGTTCAGGCGATCCTTCCACCTCAGCCTTCCAAGTAGCTGGAACTAAGGCATACGCCACCACACCCAGCTAATTTTTTGATTTACTGTAGAGATGTGGTCTTACCAAGTTGTCCAGGCTGGTCTTAAACCCGTGAGTTCAGGCAATCTTCTCACCTTGGCCTCCCAAAGTGCTGGGATTATAGGCATGAGCCACCATGCTCAGCCTAAGATCTGACTTTTGACCCTAATTTTACTTATTACTGATTATACAACAAGGTGGAATAGCTAGAGAGCACACACTTTGGTGAAACAAGTCCTGTTCTGCTACCTGCTAGCTGTATGACCTGGGCTTAATCTTTAACCTTTCTGAGTTTTTATTTCTTTAATTATAAAATGAGAATGGCTGAGTGCAATGGCTTCTGCCTGTAATCCCAGCACTTTGGGAGGCAGAGGCAAGAGGATTGGCTGAGCCAATCCTCTTGGGGTTTGAGACCAGCCTGGGAAACTTGGTGAGACCTCATCGCTACAATAAGTCAAAATATTAGCTGGGCATGGTGGTGTGTGCCTGTGGTTCCAGCTACTTGAATGGCTGAGGCAGAAGGATCACCTGAGCCCAGCAGGTCGAGGCTGTGATCATGCCACTGCACTATAGCCAGGGTGACAGAGTGAGACTCTGACTCAAAAAAAAAAAAAAAAGAATATAGTTATTATAAGAATGAAGTTGTTATATGTGTAAATAAAGAAATTATTCCACCCTTGGTATAGAATAAGTACTTACAAAAATTTTAATTACTTTGAACTGCTGTACTTGAAATTCTGTATGTGTAAAATGAGGACAATACCTGTCCTGTCCACATCATAATAGAAATATGATGACAATAAGCTCATTCAAATGCACAGACATTCTCTGAAATAATATGGAGAGGAAGGCAGTGAGATGAAGATGTAAGATGTTGCCATCATTGTCAACAGACAATGCAGACTTTTTAGGGAGCAGTGTGGGAACCAAGAAATAGTTCCCTTTTGAGAGAAATCAAGGATATTAGGTAAATATCCCAGTAACTCTGCTTACCTCTCGGAACCAGTTGAGAGTAAGAAATATAAGTGAACATCTGAATGAGAGCTCTTTAGCAGACATGGACTCCAGCCTCTCTCCAGGCTCCAAGTCAGTGAGGAATATAGGACAATCTGAGAGAGAGGAACACACATTTCCAATGCCCTTTAGTCTAAACTAATAAAACCTGGATGCTGTCCCTGGAGCTAGCTACCCTTGCTACTTATTTTCCCCCTTTAATTCATATTTAAAGGTCAAGATTTGATTAAAACACTTCCATATTTTCAGCAATCAACACAAATAATTAGACAGTTTTTGCAACAATTGATTTGTTAACATAATGGGATTCTGTTCGTACAATTTGTCTTTGGAATTCCATTATTCCAATGCTATACTACTCTGTTGAAGTTAGAAAATTCTTTCCCACATATACTATATACTGGTCCTTCCCTAAGTTACCAAAGAAAGGTCACAAAGAAGAAAGAATCTGATGATTTCATCCTGTACCTAGTAGACCATCAATCTCCTCCAAGTTTCCATTATGTTGTCTTTCTACACAAAATCTCAGTAACCGGAAATAGGGAGCCAGGCACAAAGGAGACACCAATCTGGAAAGAAAAAATCCATTTCTAGACCACACTTTATAGGCATAAAGAGTTTTTCCCAAAATACCTAATTTTAAGAACAATGTCAAGGAAGTTACTGGATGCTCGATTAAGTAATTAACTGACTTGTAAGAAGGCAGGGGGTATTGGTGTGAATGTTGTCATGTATTAGAAGAAGGAGAAATAAGATGGAAGGAGGGGGTAAGAGAGGCAGAGATAGCCAAGGATGTTTATGGAGGGAAAGCAAAGGATAAGGAACAGACAAGAAAATAGCCTCATAGAATATATGTTGGCTGTTGTGAGGCAATACAAATCTCAACCCAAGGATCCAAGAAAATTCAAGGAATCTGTCCCATTCTCTCTCTAAACCCTGCAAATACCACTTGTCCCGGGAGAAACTTTTTTGACTCAAGTTCCCAAGAGATTGAAGGGACTGTGGAATTCCCTGTAAACATTTAAAACACTGACAGGGTTTTAGACAGGAAAAACTTTACTGACTTTTGGCTTGATTCCTGTGAAGTTATTCGACTCTTGTCTTGTGCAAAGTCCTGAGAGAACAACAGGGGCAGGAGGTTGATGACAATCCCATCCTGAGTATCGTATTCCTCCAGGCCGTAGAGAGGTTTCACAGGAAATGGAAAATCACTGTGGAGAGAATCCAGGACCTGATATCCCAGCTCAGGAGTAAGCAAGGCTATGGGAAAACCACTAGAATAAGCCAATTTCAAACAAAGCTATTCTGGGGAGAAATTAAAAACAGAAGAAAGAACAAACAGGGAAACTTTAGCAATTTGGATCTGAGGGTGCTGGGAGGAAAGAGGCTATGGTAGTGGACCGACATGGCTGGTCAATGATATTCTGTTTATATCAGCTACTGACAGAATTAACTTCTTCACAAGTTCAAGCCAGCAAGCAAACAGTACTCACCCTTCCGGAAAAACACAGAAGTCTACTACAAAAGCATCTTGGAAATCGTTAAGGATAGTCTGTCCAACCCATTCCTTCAGGAAAAAACAAACAAAAAAGGCAGTGTAGTCCAGGGTAGAGCCTAGATAAATGACTGTTAGCGTTTCCAAGTCCCAGTTCCCTAATTTCTAAAAAAGGAAATAAATCCTTTTTATTGTGAAGCAGAAAAGAAATAGTGTATGAAACATGTTTAGCACAATGCCTAGCATAGAATCAGGCTCTCAGATGGTGGATATCAACATCAACATCCTTCTCCTCATTACTATTATTATTATTATTAAGTGAAGGAGGTCACAGAAGAGAGTCTTGAGGCAGGGTGCGGTAGAATAGCCTTCCCCAACTAGAATTAGAATTTAGGAGAGCTCACAGGATGATCTGTTTTCACACTGCAACAGAGAGAAGGACTTGAAGAGTATACAGTAAAGCAGCTCTCATGCTTTACTGCTTTAAGAAAAGACAACTGGCCTTACTAGGGCTTTTGGAGCCAGCTTTCCTCCTTGGATCAGGTTGGCAAATTCGTCATAATAAAGTGCAGAGGCCTGAGGAGATTGCTCACTACAGGAATGAACCAACTGCAGCAAGGAGGTCACCTGAAACAAAGAGAAAGAATGTTTCAACCATTCCTAAACTCCATTCACCACACTCAGTAGTAATCCGACTTTTTTTTTTTCTTTTTTTTTTTGAGTCAGAGTCTCACTCTGTTACCCAGGATGGATGGAGTGCAGTGGCACGCTCACAGCCACTGCAGCCTCGACCTGCTGGGCTCAGGTAATCCTTCTGCCTCAGCCTCCCAAGTAGCTGGAACTACAGGCATGTGCCACCATGGTCAGCTAATTTTTCTTGATTTATTGTAGAGATGAGGTCTCACCAAGTTGCCCAGGCTGGTCTCGAACCCATGGGCTCAGGCAGTCCTCTCACCTCGGCCTCCCATCCCCTTCCAACTTTACTGGCAAAGTTCCTCCTCTCACCTAAGGTTTTCCTGAACCTCTGACCAGCCTGTCTTTTCCAATCTCATTCTTTTTTAAATCCATCAGACACATGTAGTCAGATTAATTTTTTTTTCAAGCAAAGCATTGACTATACCATATATTTTTTTTTTTTTGAGTTGGAGTCTCACTCTGTCGCCCAGACTGGAGTGCAGTGGCTGCTCCCGGCCACCGCAGCCTCGACCTGCTGGGCTCTGGCGATCCTTCCGCCTCAGCCTTCCGAGTAGCCGGAATTACAGGTGCACGCTACCACGCCTGGCTGATTTTTTTATTGATTGTAGAGATGAGGTCTTGCTGCCCAGGCGGGTCTCGAACCCGCGGGCTCAGGCAATCCACTCACCTCAGCCTCCCAAAGGCGCGGGATTACAGGCTGAGCCACCGAGCCCGGCGATTATACCATTTTTATACTAATAAATCCTTAAGGAATAAATAACACTGCCTAAAGAATGAAATCAAAACGTCTTGTCTGACATTCAAAAGCCCCATTTTCTATCTCTGAACTAGCTTTATGTCCAACTTCCCAATTACTCACCTATTGGTCCCCATGCTTCAACCAAACTATTAGTCTTTAAACATGGTCCATTTTTCTTACAAAGGATTTTCAATTTAATTAGAGAGATTAAAAAGACAAATAAACAGCCCAAATCAGTAGATTATAAATGTCACAAAAATGGTACAAAAGCTATGAGGTTAGATAAACACATTTTTATTTCTTTTTTTTTTTTTTTGAGTTGGAGTCTCACTCTATCGCCCAGACTGGAGTGCAGTGGCCACTCCCGGCCACCGCATCCTCAACCTGCTGGGCTCCGGCGATCCTTCCGCCTCAGCCTTCCAAGTAGCCGGAATTACAGGCATGCGCTACCACGCCCGGCTGATTTTTTGGTTTATTGCAGAGATAAGGTCTTGCTGCCCAGGCAGGTCTCGAACCCGTGGGCTCAGGCAATCCTCAGCCTCCCAAAGGTGCAGGATTACAGGCTGAGCCACCGAGCCCAGCGGAAAACACATTTTTAAAAATAAGTATTCTTGGCCAGGCTCGGGGGCTCAGTCTGTAATCCCAGCACTTTGGGAGGCTGAGGCGAGTAGATTGCCTGAGCCCAAGACCATGGGTTCGAGACCAGCCTGGACAACTTGGCAAGACCTCATCTCTATAATACATTAAAAAAAAAATTAGGGTAACTGCGTGATCAGTATTTGTATACTTAACCCTGAATTATACCCTACATCTTTACAATAAAAATTAAAAAAAGAAAAAGATATCAGCACACATATGTTTATTGCAGTATTGTTCACAATTGGAATCAACCATACTGCCCATCGAAAGAGGAATGGATAAAAAAATGTGGTATATATACACGATGGAATATTACACAGCCATAAAGAAGGACAAAATAATGAACTTCACAGCAACTTGGACGGGCTTAGAGTCTATAATACTGAGTGATCTATCACAGAAACAAAGAACTGAGTATCACATATTCTCACTCATAAATGGACCTTGAACAATTATCATAATACTATAAGAAAAGAATTGGCAGTGGTGGGAAACTGCTGGTGGAGGGGGAGTTGGGCAGAAGGAGTAGGGGGAGGCAGGATTGGCAGCGGTGGGAATCTGCCGGGGTGGGGGGGACACACCTCATCAACAAGGGTACCTGCAAGATGAACATTCATATACCTAATCCTGAATTGTACCCCACATCTTTAAAATAAAAACTTTACAAAAAAAATTAGCCAGGTGTGATAGTGTGTGCCTGTAGTTCCAGCTACTTGGAAGCTGAGGCAGAAAGATTGCTGGAGCTCAGCAGGTCAACACGGGGGTGGCCATGAATGTGCCACTGGGTGACAGAGTGAGATTTCAACTCAAAAAAAAAAACAACAACAAAAAACCCCCAAAAAACAGTTGAGGGAAACTGCTAGGGGAGGGAGAGGCACACTTCATCAACAAGGATAACTGCATAATCAACGTTTGTATACTTAACCCTGAATTGTACCCCACATTTTATAACTTAAAAAAAAAAAAAAGTACTCTTTCTGATGAACTGACAGTGACAAGAAGCACTTCCTCAGTGATACTGTTTGGATGTTTAACACCTCCAAAGCTCATGTAGTCCCCAATGTTGGAGGTGGGGCTTGGTGGAAGGTGTTTGGGGTATGGGGGTAGATCCCTCATGAATGGCTTGGTGCCATTCTAGTGGTAATGAGTGAGTTCTCAGTGTTAGTTCTCTCAAAAGTTTGTCTTTTATAAGAGTCTAGCATAGCCTTCTCCCTCTCATTTCTGATCTCACTTTGTGACACGCCTGCCTCCCCTTGCCTTCCACCATGATCATAAGCTTCCTGAGGCCCTCATTTGAAGTCAAGCAGATGCTGGTGCTATACAGAACCATGAGTCAAATAAACCTCTTTCCTTTACCCAATCTCGAGTATTCCTTGATAGCAATGCAAAACAAACTAATACACCACGTTACTCATAAACATACAGGGCTATATTAAAAGAACTCACCTGTGTATAATGTTCATCACTTGGGCTCTCTCTCCCTTCAGTTGAACTAGAAGATCTACTTGTAAAAAAAAGGAGTTTAAGTTTCATGTTTGGTAATATTTCATAACAACTAGCAATAAGTTGAAGAATTCTGCCTTCCCTGGGACTGGGGTAAAGATAAAAGCACATGAAGGCAGAGAGAAGTATTTATTGTCTGTGTAAAATTCAGATTAGAACAAAGGATGGCTATCTTATATATTTTTCAAGGGCATGCTAAATTAGTATAATAAGAGGAAGCACTTCTTTAGTGCATACCATGTGCTGAGCACTGTCTTAAACATTTGATGTTCTCAATAACTCTATGGAGTAAATACTTTCATTATCCTGATTTCACAGATGTGAGAGTACAAAGGCAAGGAGGTAAAGTAACTTGCCCAAGGTCATTCAGGTCATAAATGACGGAGTCAGGATTTGACACCAGGCAAACAGTATAGCTTCAGAGAATGACTTCTTTTCTTGTTTAAGTTTTAAAACTAAGTTTATTAGAGAAAGGAGAAAACAAAAGACAGGTAAAAGTTTCATACCAGAGAGGCCTGGCACAGGCAAGTATCAAAAAGGGGTGAATGAATTCTTAACCAGTACATTATGCAACCCCTTCTGATTAACAATGCTGATTCTAAGGATGTCTCCTGAGGTCTTAGGAAGTTCTAACAAATAATTTCCAAGAAGCATGAACTGAATTCCTACTTCAGCTTGCAATGGCAACATCTTATCAAACCCTAAATCTGACGTTTCTTAGATTCTACAATTAGGGCTTCAAATATCAAGTGGAGGGGAAGAAGTCCACAAGAAGATCTTATCTGTACCAAATGGTGAAGTTCCAGACAGGACTAACGCAGCAATGTAGAAACCCACATTGTCTAGTGCTTACATTAGGAGCAAATACAGAAAAACGTATTCAGGAGGATCGGAGTTTCCCTTTTGTGGAAAGATTTCTAGAATTTTATCTCTATGCAATCCTTAGTTTTTACCATCAGACTGTAATTACTATGACCACAATTCAGGAAAAAAAACAAAAGAACATGGAAAAGTGGCAAAATATGTTTGCTCACTATTCTTATAATTAGAATGTCTACTGTTAAAACGATGTCTAGTCAACAAAACACTTTGTCTCGTAAAGCAGCAACTTGAATAAGTGATCTTGAGCCACAGAAGTCAGAATCTCCATGTGTACCTGTCTGCTGCCATGATGCCAATCATGGTGACAGCACCAATAATCCCAATGAGTTTGTACTTAAATATGGTGCTAGAGAGCTGCTTTCGTATCACCAGGTGCATGTCATCCTGTAATAAGACAATGATGGGGAAAGGTGAAGATGCTGGAATGGCACTGCAAAAGAGCCTACGGATACTGGAGCCAAAAAGCTAGATTAGGAAGGATTCTATCATTTACTAATGCGTGGTTTTAGCAAGTCATTTCATCTCTCTAATTCTCAATTTTCTCATTGGCAAAATGCAAAAGGTTGTTTTAAGAATTAGAGACAAATTATGAAAAGCTCCTAAAACAGTACCTGGCATAAGGTAGACATTCAATAATAACAGCTGTTCTTATTACTGTGGTGGTTGTTCTATAAGGATATGAAAATTATCATAATGTTGGCTATTCTGCTAAAATAATAAAACAGAATAAAACACATAGGTAAAGATTTAACCATGGAGGCAAAAGACTTATACATTAAAAACTACAAAACACTGCTGAAAAAAAATTGAAGACTTAAATTAACGGAAAGAGCTTTTGTCTTCATGAATTGCAAGACACTTAATATTGTTAAGATGACAATACTATGCAAAGTAATTCAGTGCAACCCTAATAAAAATCCTATCAACATATTTTGTAGAAGTAGAAAAACCCATACTAAAATTAATATGGAATTTCAAGGGACCCCAAACAGTCAAGTTTTTTTTTTTGAGTTGAAGTCTCACTCTGTCACCCAGGCTGGAGTGCAGTGGCACACTCATAGCCACCCCAGCACTGACCTGCTGGGTTCCAGAGATCCTTCCGCCTCAGCCTTCCAAGTAGCCAGAACTATAGGTGTGAACTACTACACTTCCTGATTTCAAAATTAAAACAGCTAGGCACGGAGACTCACACCAATAATCCCAACACTTTGAGAGGCAGAGGCAGGAGTATTGTCTAAGCCCTGGAGTGTGATACCAGCCTGGGTAACTTACTAAAACCTTGTGTCTACAATAAATCAAAAAATTAGCCGGGCATGGTGGCTCATGCCTGTAGTTCCAGCTACTTAGAAGGCCGAGGCAGAAGAATCACCTGAGCAGGTAAAGGCTGCGGTAGCAATAAGCGTGCCACTGCACTCCAGCCTGGGCAACAAAATGAGACTCTGACTAAAAACATAAGTATCTAATAATAATAATACAAAGCTATAGTAATCAACAGTGTGGTACCGGTATAAGGACAGTCATATAGACCAATGAAATAGAGTCCAAAAATTAACTTTCATATATGTGATCAACTGATTTTCGACAAGGTTGCCAAGATCAATCAATAGTGAAATGACAGTCTCTTCAACAAATAGTGCTGGGAAAACTAGATATCCATATGAAGAATGAAGTTAAACCCTTACCACCCACCATACACAAAAATTAACTCAAGATGGATCAAAAACCTAAATTTAAGAGCTAGAACTTTCTTTTAGAAGAAAATAGGGGAAAAGTTTTGTGACCTTGGATTTGATAATGGTTTCTTTCTTTCTTTTTTTTTTTTTTTGAGTTGGAGTCTCACTCTGTCATCCAGACTGGGGTGCAGTGGCTGCTCCCGGCCACCGCAGCCTCGCCTACTGGGCTCCAGCGATCCTTCTGCCTCAGCCTTCCAAGTAGCTGGAACTACAGGCACGCATTACCAAGTCCGGCTAATTTTTGATTTATTGTAGAGATGAGGTCTCACCAAGTTGCGCAGGCGGGTCTCGAACCCGTGGGCTCAGGCAATTCACTCACCTCAGCCTCCCAAAGGCGCGGGATTACAGGCTGAACCACCGAGCCTGGCAGATAATGGTTTCTTAAATCAACACCAAAAGCACAAGAAACAAAAGAAAAATAGATAAACTGGACTTCATCAGAAGTAAATACTTTTCTGCATTAAGACACTATCAAGAGACTGAAAAAGATAGCCCACAGAATGGGCATCATATATCTGATAAGAGATTAATACTCAGAATATATAAATAACTCCTATACCTCAATGACAATATAAAACCCAATGTTAGCCAGGTTCGGTGGCTCAGCCTGTAATCCCGCGCCTTGGGAGTCTGAGGTGAGTGGACTGCCTGAGCCCGTGGGTTCAAGACCCGCCTGGACAACTTGATAAGACCTCATCTCTACAATAAATCAAAAAATTAGCCAGGTGTGGTCGCGCACACCTGTAATTCCGGCTACTCGGAAGGCTGAGGCGGAAGGATCGCCGGAGCCCAGCAGGTCCAGGCTGCGGTGGCCGGGAGCGGCCACTGCACTCCAGTCTGGGCGACCAAGTGAGACTCCAACTCAAAAAAAACCACAAAAACCCCAATGTTAAAATGGGCAAAAAGCTGGGTCTAGTTGCATGTGCCTATAATCTCAGTTACTTGGGAGGTTAAAGTAGGAGGAAAAATTGAGCCCAGGAGTTCAAGACCAGCTTGGGCAACAGAGTGAGACCCTGTCTCTTAAAAAAAAGAAGAGAGCAAATAACTCTTTTTAAAATAGACATCTCTACAAAAGAAGATATAGAAATGGACAATAAAACAAGATGCAGTTGCTCATGCCTGCAATTCCAGCACTTTGGGAAGGAGAAGAGGGAGAGAATCGCTTGAGGTCAAGAGTTTGAGACCAGCCTGGGTAACATTGTGAGACTATTTCAACACAAAATTAAAAAGATAATAATAAATTAAAAAATTGACTCCTGTGTGGTGGCTCATGCCTGTAATCCTAGCACTTTGGGAGACTGAGGTGAGAAGATTGCTTGAGCCCAGGAGTTCAAGACCAACACAGGCAACATGGTGAGACCTTGTTTCTATAAAAAAAATAAAAAAAATTAGCTGGGTATGATGATGCATGCCTGCCTACTTAGGAGGCTGAGGCAGAAGGATTGCCTGAGCCCAGGAGGTTGAGGCTGTGGTGAGCCGTGAATGCACCTTTATACTCCAGCCTGGGTGACAGAAAGAGACCCTGAATCCAAAAAAAAAAAAGGAAAAGAAAAGCAATGACCAGTAAGTACATAAAGATGTTTAACATCATTAGTCATTAGGAAAATGTAAATCAAAACCACAATGAGATATCATTTTCTACCTATTAGGATGGTTATAATTTAAAAATGAAAAATAAGTGTTGGAAAAGATGTGGAGATTGGAACTCAGGTATTGTTGGTTGTAACGTAAAATGGTGTAGCAGCTATGAAAAACAGTTTGCTTGGGGGAGGGATTGGCAGTTCAGGGAAACTGCTAGGGGAGGGAGGGGTATACTTCTTGACAGGGGTACCTGCATGATCAATGTTTGTATACCTAACCCTGAATTGTATCCCATATCTTTACAATAAAAAATTTTTTAAAAAAAGAAATGAGTCAAAAAAAAAAAAAAAAAGAAAAACAGTTTGCTGGTTCTTTAAAATGTTAAACATAGAATCATCATATCATCCAGCAATTCCAGGTATATACCCAAAGGAACTGAAAACAGAGACTCTAACAAATACTTGTATACCAGTGTTCATAACAGCATTATTCAAATGGCCAGAGGGTAGAAACAACTCAAATGTCCATCAATGGATAAATTAATAAACAAAATGTGGTATATATATAAAATATTACAGGAAATCAAGTTTTGATGCATCCTACAACATACATAGAACTTGGAAATATTGTGCTAAGACACAAAAGAATAAATATTTTAATTTTACTTACACAAGATATGTAGAACGAGCACATTCATAGATAGGAAGTAATAAGAGGTTATTAAGGGCTACAGGGGGAAGAAAATGGGGAAATTATTGCCTGATGGGTACAAAGTTTCTGTCTGGGATGATGAAAAAGCTCTGGAAATAGACAGTGGTGATGACTGCATAACACTATGCATGTACTTAATGCCACTGAATTGTACACTTAAAAATAGTTAAAATAGGCCATTGCAGTCATGCCCTATTAGACTCTGGTGTGGCCATGTGCTCTTTGAGCTATGGCTGTCTCCATGTTTCCTGGCTTTGTGCCCCTTCCCTACCCTGGGGAGGTGAATCATCTCTCTCTCTAATTTACGTTCAAATAAATTATATTTTCTAATCTAAAAAAAAAATGGGTAAAATGGGGCAACCCCCTTGGGTCCCCTCCTGCTCTGGGAGCCTTTTTGTCCTCTCAATAAATCCTACTTTAAAAAGGCTAAAATGGTATTGTATGAAAGGAGAACAGGTTAGCACTCCCCTTGACAAGGATAGAAGAGGCTCTTGGGCCTGACAAAAAGCATATGGTCAAGGCGTTGCCACCTACTTCATGGCATCTAACCATCATTTTTAAAAAATGGTCAAAATAGTAAATTTAATGTTATACATATTTTATCACAGTTCAAAAGTAATGAAGTAGCTTTATATCACTGATTTGAAACAATTCCCAAAATATACTGTTAAATGCAAAAAGTAAAATGTAGAACAAGAGCGGGAATGGGGTAGACTATAGGAAAATATAAATTTGCAAAGCTCAGAAGACTATAAAGTACTGATAGTGATTGCCTTTAGGGAGACAAATCAAATGCCTAGAGGACTGAGAGGGAGAGCTATTTTTCACTGTATAGCCTGCTATATATTTTGCATATTGTACTATGTGTATATATTACCTAACACAAATTTTGTAATTTAAAAAATGTGCTTTATTTGGGTGTGGTAGCTCATGCCTATAGTTCCAGCTACTTGAAGGCTGAGGCAGAAGGATTGCCTGAGCCCAGCGGGTGAAGGCTGCGATGGCTGTGAGCACGCCACTGACTCCAGTGTGGGCAACAGAATTAAGACTCCAAATTAAAAAAAAAAAGTGCTAAGGATTTAAGGAGAAAAAAAAAAAAAAAAAAGGAAACAAATGTGTCCACTGGTCAAACCCACAGTCCAACATGGAATACTGCCATAAAGATAAAAAAGAATGGTAAGTTATGATTTCAGTCTAATCTCTTATTTTAGTCCTTTTGTCTAGCTTTTTTCAGTGAATGGTGTCCACAAACAAAAGCAAGTCCAGATGAAGTTCACATTGGATGTAGATTCTCCTGAGAAAACAAGGGAATTCTGTGTCCCCAATGCAATCAGAAACTGAATGGCTTTTCTTTTCTTTTCGTTTCTTTCTTTCTTTTTTTTTTTTGGAGTGGGAGTCTCTCTGTTGCCCAGGCTCATGGTCATCGCAGATTCGACCTCCTGGGTTCAAGCGATCCTTTTGCCTCAGCTTTCCAAGTAGCTGGAACCATAGGCGCGAGCCACTACGCCCTGCTAATTCTTTGATTTCCTGTAGAGACGTGGTCTTACCAAGTTGCTCAGGCTGGTCTTGAACCCCTAGAATCAGGCAATCTTCTCCCCTCAGCCTCCCAAAGTGCTGGGATTACAGGCTGAGCCACCAAGCCCAGCCTATCCAGTAAATTTTAAGTAAAGAGGTTTAAAAGAATCTTTCTCAGTACACTGCTTCTTACCTGGATGTGGCTGCTGGCTTCATTATATTTGCTAAATGCCAGTGTGCTGAGAATATAGAATAGTTTTCGTATTTGCTGAGGGGACATATTATCCAGATAATCTAAAATGCCCTGTGGGAAAAAGAATGCCAAAATAAAACTAGAAGCTCACATTTTAAAGAAATCAAAAAAATTAAAATCCTTATAAGAGATACATACAGATAACCAAGTATCTATTCCCCAAATCTTAAGTTCTAAAAGCTATGCTCAGAGCCCATATGTTTAAAAGTTTGAATATACACTGAGGGCACTTGCAGCTTTCTAAATATATCTTATCTAAGACTAGGAACCATTAGCAAGAAAGATAAAGTCTTCTTTGTCTTCATTCTGAACTACAATTCTAGGCTTTAACCATCTCCTGCTTAACACCTCCCCATTCTCTGTATTCTTTATCTCCATCCTTCCCCGTTCTCTGTATTCTTTATCTCCATCCTTCATTTTCTTTCTTATATATTTATTTTAAGAGACAAGGGCTTGCTGTTGCCCAGGATGAAGTGCAGTGGCGCGATCATAGCTCACTGAAGTCTCAAATTCCTGGACTCAAGAGATCCCTTCCCTCATCCTCCCTAGTAGCTGGGACTATAGACACATGCCACCATGTCCAGCTAATGTTTTAAATTATTATTTTTTTTTGTAGAGACAGAGTCTTACTATGTTGCCCAGGCTGGTCTCAAACTCCTGGCCTCAAGCAATCCTCCCATCTAGGCCTCCCAAATTTTTGGGAGTACAGGCATGAGCCACTGTGCTAGTTCTAGGCTTCACTTTTTTTCAGTGAAAACTATATTCTACCAAAAGTTATGCCTCTGACTCCATTCCTTACCATATCATCCCTTCCCAGCTTACACTCTATGAATTATTTATCCTTTCTCTACAGATCTGGAAGAAGTCATAAGGAAATTATTTACTTTGCAACTTTGGGCAATTCCCTAGCTTTTACATCTCTAATATAAGGACAATAACAGCTATATTATCTTTCCAAGTTGGTCTGAGGATAAAAACAATAAAACAGTTTGTAAACTTTTAATTAGTTAACTTAAAATGTTTTTCCATTTATTCTTCCATTGAATCCTTTCTCTCAGCACACAAATAATCTCAAACTTCCCTATCTGAAAAATATCTTCCTTGTAACCAGCTTCTCCCTCAAGCTACTTTTTTACTCTCTCTTCCTCAAGGCCTCTCAACATTGAGTCTATATACCCAGTCTCCACTTTTCGAATTTATTGTTCTCCAAATTGCTCTCCAAATTGTCTCTTAAGCCATCATTTCTTCTCCATCCCCATGACACTAATTGGGCCCTTACTCTCACTCCTGTGGACTATTTCAGTAGTTTCCAGTCTGCCCATCACATGGCCTATAGTTATTTCTCAAAGCTCAGTACATAGGACAACTCTGTAAAAACCTGTAATAACTCCCTATTGCCCATAAAATGTTGAAACACTTTAGCATGGTATTTGAGACCCTTCACAAACTGGGCCTGTCCTATATCTTACCAGCCTCATAGACCATTCTCCAGCAGTACTAGGCTCCTTGTCATCCCTCAGGCACACCATGGAGCCGGGCAGAGTCTGCCACTGTTCAAATTGTTCTCTGCCTAGAATGCACTCCCTTACTTCCTCTCATCAATCATCCCTATCCTTCCGGAATCACTCAAATGTCATCTGCTCTCTGAAGATTTCTCCAGCTTCCTAAGCCAACTTTTTAAGAAATTTTATTTTATTTTAAGGATGTGGGGTACAATTCAGGATTAGGTATAAAGTGCTCATCAGACAGGTAAAGTTTGGGCCTACCTTTGGTCCCTACTTTGCCTGGTTTGAAATCAGGTACCCTTATTGATGTTATGCCCCCCACCCCCAGCCCCCAGCAGTTTCTAGCTACTGCCAATCCCTTTCTTATAGTATTATTTCCAGGTCAACTTTAATTATTCCTGCTCTGTTGTATTTGTAGCACTTTATTTTATTAGAGAATTCATTATGTTGTATTTATAGTGGCTTGTTTATTTGTCTTAGTCTTTATCATCAAAGGCAAGGATTGACTTTAAATCCACTTTAAATAGAGCTTGGAACAAAAGTATAATGAAGTGTCTGCTGAATGAATTAACATGCAGAATACTCATTTTTTTATATTACTTTCCCATCATCTTACCTCCCCCCCACCAATTATAGTGTTCAATATCTAAAGAGTACAAAGTAAATAATCGCTAACTCACAGACATTAGATAACACTCACATACATGCTGACAAGGAGCCAATAGATACCTTCACAAAGACAGCATTCAGCCTCATAGCAAATGGGTTTAGCACTACCAACTCTAGGAGAACATCCAATGCAGTATCAACTTCAGCTTCATTCCCACTGCAGATATGTGTCACTAGGGCACCAACCACTTCCTATACAGGGGACAAGCAATAGGATAGTATAAAACAAAAATATGGTATGGTCATTCTAAAGTGGTTCACACCTGAGACTGAGGCCTTTCTAATCTCTACTTTGTTAAAATCACAACCTACTCGATCCTATCATCTACTATCTAGTTTTTATTAGTTGGTTTCAAGAGGTTTAGGATTATGCCAATATAAATACACCACCACCCAGTCTTAACCTGCTTCCCATAATTTATCAGTAAGTACTATCTAAGCCCTCCTGATTTTGCTCCTTGGCATAGTCTTTTTTCTTTTTCCCATTTAGGTTAAATTTTACCCTTTAAGTTGTGGTTGTATGAAATCTGCTGAAATTCCTCAAAAAGATGGCATTCAAGGAGCTAAAGGTGTTATCTACAGTACAGGTTTAACTTGCACGTTTCCAAGCAAACATGGATCCTGACAATGCCTCTGAGACATTAAGAAATTCAAAATGTCTTAGATGACATTCTCCCTCTCCTTTACTCCATAAGTCATAACAGAATTATACTCTCAACTGTAATAACAAGTTCATGTCAGCTGTATCTATTGCTCTGCTTTAAATTTTTACAAATTTCTTTTTGAAAAGTTCCATCCAAAAGTGTTTTAACATTGGTAGTAATAGGTATAGTATATATGAAAACACAAAATAAAACACTCTGTTCTTTACTTGCTTTCATATACACAAGTATAACTTTCCCTCTCTGAATATAAGCTATTAAATTTTGTGTCTCATGTTCATGGGAATTAGGTTAGGCCCTCAAATATTTCTCATTCATTTGCTTTTCACCACAGTTTTTTCTAGAGAACAACTCCAGGACCAACTGGTTGTTATTTACAGCTAAATTTAACTGCTATTCCTGCATTGTGGTAACTATCTGATGATTCCAGCTATTTAAAGCCAAGGTTTACTTGAAGCAGACTGATCTGGACCTCAATTTTAGACTCATAGAGTTTTAGAGCTCAGAACACAGAGCTAGATCCTGAAGTCCAGTGCCTTTAACTCATCAAGGCTGGGACTAGAACTGAGCTTTTCCAAACCCCAGTTTAAAGTCCTCTCCCCGTCAATGCCTTCCAAACAACAAGAAATAAACATCAGCTCATTTTCCCTTTTTCTGTTCTCTCCTTGCCAAAATAAATATTTCAACATACCTGCTGGCAGTAAGTGTCAAAAAACTTAAACGCATATTTGTATAGGAGACTGCCAAATGACATTATACTCTGGTCTATGGAGTGAAGCAAACTCTGAGCCAGTGACAAAATGGATGGACAAAGATCTTTAAGGACCTTAAGGAGGGGAGAATAAAGAGAAAAAAGAAGCTGTGGGAAAAACTTAGTTATTACAAAACTTAAGAGTTGATCACCTTTTGGAATGTCACAGTTCTCCTCCGCAACTCTCATTTTAAAGAATAATCCTTCACCATTTTGAGTTTACTCTCAGGATCAATGGGATTCCACATATGGACAAGAGTTGACCTTGAAGCTCAAAGAAGTTAAATTACAAGCCTAATAGTATTGCTCCTATCTGCCCAATTCAGAATTGGGAGCCAGATTTCTACATCACAGTTTCCCTTGCAATCATACTGCCCCTCTGGGAGGCCTGTTCTGCCTTGGTTATAATTTGTAATCAGTCTATAAGGGTCAATGTTAACTAAATTGATTTCTTTTAAAGAAGGTTAAGAAAAGAAGTGATTGTGGGGGCCGGGCTTGGTGGCTCAGCCTGTAATCCCAGCACTTTGGGAGGCTGAGGTGAATGGATTGCCTGAGCCCGCGGATTCA